CTCTCGACTTGTGACCCCTGCGTCATATCTACTTATGGGTGCACCACTACAAATAAATCCCAATACTTCACAAAAATTTTAAAAATACAACTCTCACAAGTGTTCAGGCTGCACAGAAAAATGATTTTCCACGTGTCCTCTTTCATTTACCTTTCAATTTTCGGGGGGTTGTCCAATGAATTTTTGAGAAATTTTCACCAGAAGCATACCATTTTGAAAAACCCTCCCTCGGCAAAATGGCTCAAATAGTGCCACTTTCAAACTCGATTGCATCTAAATTGCTCAGAATTGGAAGGCCCAAGTCCGGCCCAGTCTCATATTTCTTCAATTCCTCAGTTCCATGGCTCTCAGGACCCTCTAATATAGAATATTTTGAGTGTGTAACTCTTATTAATGAGCTCGGCGGACATATTTCTGGCCTAATTACGAGGGTGCACCCTTATACCTGTGGGTGATGCCCACTGGTCTTTATACACTGGATGGGCAGCTCAGCAATAACTGCCTACGTGTGAATTGAAGTGACAGCGAGTAGTAAGGAATGGATATTTCTGTGATTTTTCTAAGAATTGAAAAATTTCTCTCTCCAAAAATAAAAAAAGAAAATCCAAAAAATCCGCCAAAACTTTAACAAATTCACAAAAATCTCCACTCTCCAAAAAAATCCATAAAAATCCCCAATTCCTCAGACTTTACCAGGTTCCCTAAACTTGTCGCTCACCTTTGCAATCCAATTTGAGTGCGCAAAACTAGTCGGCGGGCACGCCACTCGGTTAATTAAACACTTAATCTACACCGGTGAAAGAAGACGCCATAGTCCGAGCAAAAAAAGACGTGCAGCGTCAAAGGCATCGCACTTGCTTCGTGTGGGAGACGAAAGACGGTTTTGAAATAAAATTCGACGTCTCTCCTCAAAGAGGAAAGACGCCGATAATAATGATAAAATATACATTATAATAAAAAAATTACCTAATTAGAAATGCAAAGAAATCAAAATGTAATGCCGCAAAATCGTGAAAACAGATTAGATTATATCCATCATGCAATCGAGTCCGATCAAGACTCTTCCTACCGAAATACAAGTTCAGACTGTCACCCAGAGTAAAAATCCCAGGCGAGTCGAACAAGGAAAACGCGTGGCAGAACATAACAAGCGCATGAAACAACAACTTTTAGAATTAAAATCTCGTGAGCCTGCCAAGACAAAATCAGAAACTAAAATATACGCGGATCACAGAAACTTGATTTTAGGCGGATTGTTGATAGGGGTAGTCACTCTCGCATTGTTTTTTTTTTTAAAGAAAACGCCTGATGTAAACCAAATACGAGCGCCATCGCTGCCTGTCCCAGCGAAAGCTAGTGCATCAGAAAATTTAGCAATGAAGTAAAATAAAAATCGCTATATAATAAAAAAAAAAATGAGTAAAGCAATCGATGCAAACGAATTGCCAATATAGTATATCACTGCGTTGCTGTCAGCGTCATTTCGATGGGATACGCCATGCTTGGTAAAAAGCTGCTGAAAAATTAAACCCCCTGATTTAGACAAACTCAGCGTAGAAGACGCGGCCAAAATGACCGCGATCGCAAGCGGGGTGTTGGCTACGCAAGGTTGGCTAGCATCAGTTGTCCCGCCACACTATGTTCTGGCAAAAAGGTGCTTCTTTCAAACTGGCTTGAGCTTGTTGAGCAAAGTGTGAATTGAAGTGATGTTGAAACTACCATACACGTAACTGACAGTCAGAATGCATATTAATGCCAGACGATTGTGGTATGCAAGCACAAGAGTTGAGTTGCTCCCAGTCCCATGTTTTATTGCATACGAATCTGTTGTCTAGAGTTTGGTCTAGGTCTCCAGGCCTGGGGTATACGCGCAGACAATAGACCTTATGCCTCTGATGTCATCTATCCTTAGGAACTGTAGGGCTCCCTCTGGGCCAACCAGATCTTGCAGTTAGCCTGACCTTTAGTTCCTTCTTCCACAGCTTGACACCGCTCTGTTGTTATCTGTGTTGAACAGAAAATAGACTTTGGCTCAATACATTTGTTACTACGTGTACATTCATCGTTTCATCGAAGAAATATTTCAATCATATCACGGGACTAAAACTGGTAATCAAAAAAAGTACTTTTAGCTCTAAAAATTATCCCATTTTTCTTGGAGGCATTCTATCAGCACACTTATTTAAACAACTGATGTGAACTGCTGGTCATGTATTTAGCCCCATACCTTGAGTGAGTCATCTAGTCTCAGTTGGGCATGCTTGCTGTAATGCAAATGCTCATTGCAAATGCAAGTCTGACTTCTGAAAAACTGTTCAAATCATTGTTATTGCTTAAATTGATTGAAGGCTTACATTCTCCATTCATGGAGGCTAAAACTGTTTCAGAAAGACCATTCTTGATTTTTGGATGTATTCTTTAGGTTTGAAGGCCATTTACCCATGTGACAAACATGTAGTGAAATTACAAGAGGCAAGTTTTCAAAAGTGGCAGGAGTTCTGCTGGGTGGAGAAAACTGAACCTTCATTGAGTCACTGACAGTGGCACATTTCTGAAATAGTTGAGGGTAAGTCAGGTCCAAACTGTCCGGGTCATAGAGAGATGAGAGGGCCTTGGGGTACNATGTCAGTAGCAGAGAGGGGAATAAATTCTTGGGCATATGCATCCATGACACAATGAACAACTGGCCGAGCTGATACTTGCTGGAGAGATGCATGGAATACGGCCAGTTCATCTAATGTAGGGGGTGCTATAGCAGCTTCTGTCCAAGGTTTCTTGCAGGTACTTGAAGGCTTTCTAAAATTGATGTGTTTCACTTCTGCAGCACATACCTGTAATTGAAAAAATGGGAATATTCAATGATTGGGCACATTATGCATGAAATAACAGCGGCATAAGGGCTTCTACGCCGGAAGTTTATGAGAAGCAGTTTCAGATTGTGATTATCGTTGCCTAAACCAGCCATTTTTCCATATTACATGAATACTTTCCTCATCTTTTTCTTACATTTCTTTTTGCTGGTAGCCATGCACACTTCTGAGAAGTACAGGCATCTGATCCTGGAGCTTTCCTCAACTGGTTGGCTTTTACAACACTTGATATTAATGCAGCAACAAGGCTACAGGCTTCTCCCAATCTGCAAGGGTAGTAGATAACAATTGATAAAGACAAACACTGAATATCAGAAAGGTCAGTTTGCCTAACGGACATATCACTCAGACAACCAGGGTCATTTATTAGTCATACGCAATACGCATGAATACTTTTCACTTCACAGACAACCTGCCAATTAGGAAAATATTTTTTGGCTAAGTGACATTAACATGTATCTTACCCGGCCATGCGTGTACAGTGTGCAGCTATAATTTCTCGGCACTTCTCAGCAGCAAACCATGGAACCAGAGGGGTTGCTGTCATTCTCTAGCCGAGTTTCACCCTGCCAATCACCACATATCTGGTCTTCCCGGACCCAGATTGGTTTGTGTGAAGTCGCATATCGTGGACCCATCTAGCCTTGACAAAACAATCTGATCCTGTCATGGATTTCCATGCCTGCAATTTATGGAGGGAAAAGTGCATCTTACAAACAAAGGAAAAATTTTCTGTCCAACTACAACATCACTTTGCCTACAGAAAATTTCTTCTTCCTTGCTGGACTAAAATTATTAATATTTCCTGATGTAATCTCATCATTAAACCCAAAACACACTAGGTCCTAGTATAAATCTAGGCTTCCAACTATAAAGTAATTCACCAACCATGACAACAGTTAACAAACACTGTTAAGGGGGGGCTAATTACTAACGTTATAGTTACTGAGTTAGGAGCAGCAATAACTAGTAGAGGGAATGCATTTTGTGGCAAGGCTAGCATGACTAGATCCTAAAGCCTAGGGCAGGCTTTTCCTGGGGGGGCTTGAGTAAACCCTGGATTGCGACTAGATTGAAAACAAGAAAAACAGCCTGACTCTGCCTTGGTGCAGTCAGAAGGCCTCAGGTCTGGCTGTTTTCGGACAGAATTTGGTGGGGATCAAGTTCAATTATAAAATTTTAACTTAAGTTAAACCATGGAACTCCATGGTTAAACTAGAAAGGATCAGCGTTTATGACGTTTTGGAAATTTGTTCTGTAATTCCTTTGTTTCTTTCATTTCTTTGGTCTATTCAAATTAAAACAGACCTAGGCAAACAAGTTCTTATTGGAAAAAGCGGGAGTAATCTTACTCTTAAGTCTTCCTTTGTGTGCTGGCTCGGGGTTGAAATCATGTAGATGTACATGTCGTTCCACTACACGTCAGGAATTATTTCCGGTAAGCCTCCAGCTTTTTTGCGTCGATCTGATACGGGTCCTGTTTCAGGTTACATGCCTCTAGTTTTTCTATATATCTTGCTTTACAAGCACCCATCAAGCCTTTAGCATAGGCAGACAAAAATTTGACATGGTAACAGTGAGGGAAACAAAGTATCGCTCTGTGCAATGCGCTCCTTATTCAGGCTTTGCACCAAAGAGCAACATGTACTTGCACTAGTTTGTGCGCACGCGCACTTCAACGAAAGTGCGCCGCCGCTTGACCTCGAAGATGGCGACGCCATTGGTCGTTAAGTTGGCAGTGACGTCAGTGCACTAGGGGTGCTGACCACTAGTTCAAGTGAGAATTTTCGACCAGCTCATTAGCATTAAAAGTGCCCCCCCACAGTATCTTTTGAATAAGGAGATTGTTTTGCCTCCAAATTGGTGAGATTGTGTAAATCGTTGCCAGGATCAACTCCCTGGGTCTTTGAGCTTTCATATGAGAGCAGAAGGGCTAAAAACTACGGTTGAAAAATGGTCCTAAGTTCCCGAGAAAGTTGAGGGTTGCCACTTGAAAAATGACTGCAATCAGACTTCGGAAAAANAAAGTGAAGAAAGTACACCTGTACATGCTGTCGTTGGAAAGCTTTATCGGCGTCGCTCCCCTATGGCATAGTTGCTGAAGTAAAAATCATCAGATATAGGCGCGTGCTATTCAAAGTAAATAGACATTTACTTCAGTGTTTTGCTTTATTGCTGTATTTCTATGTTTCAGTGGCACTATCTGACTTAATTGTTACTGAGCTAAATAACTTTAAAATTAGTGGGTTAAAAATCAAGTGAAGGTGGTAAGGGCACGGGCGCTTTTAAATTCTGTGGTTCTCATCGTTTTTTACCCTTTTCCCGACGTCGAAAAAATGCCCTTTTTTCTGCCGACCCTGCTCAGAGGACCTCGCCTTGTAAATTGTAGGGTATGGTGGGTAGGGTACCGTTGAAAACATCGGTGAAAATGTACATATGCGAAACTGTGACGATTTTGCCTAAGCATCAATGCAGCGACAGTTGAAAAGCACAGGCGGCATACATGTACTGTACATGTACATGTATGCAGGTTGGACTAAAGCGCCGACCGGATGAACCCACACCGCCCTCATATGTACGCAACAAACAAGCATGCTGGCCTTCATTTACGGGGGGGGATTGGAATACACACTGCTTATACACGAACACCGTATGAATTAGAACGTTTCTCATACTTTTCGAATTTTGTATTAGACTGGTGGTGTTAAAGGTATTTTCAGTTACTGTTGGGAATTTGGGGGACCATTTTCACTTTATTATATATGTGGAGCGTTAGTTTGAACATGGAGGAAGGAAACAGTAGAGCTAGCCTTGACACACTGACTCCAACGAAGTCTTGTGATGTGAACCAATAAATCTATTTCAGCTAGAAACAGACATTCATGGTTCTCGATATAAAACAAGTGACAAGTAAACATACCGGTAGTGCAATTTGTTAGTGGTTCAGTCATCAATGTACGTGGGATGGATTGTTTTAATAAAAAGGAATTTTCTTGTTGTTTGACCAACCGACCATCCCTCAATTGAATAAAAAAGAAGAAGATGTCTGGAAACCACACTATATAAAACGGATGCCCTTTGAAACCATGAGCCCAATTTACACTCCTCAATGACCTTGACTGGAGCGCAAAGTTGTGTAACAGTAATACGCATTCACGTGACTAGTTACTAAATGTGTGTCGCGTCGTTGCGGCCGTGCCTGCTTGAGACTATGCTAGCCCAGACCATCAGTCATCACGGCAGGCACTTACGGTATTAAGAAGAGATGATGCGAGGCTCGTATCGCCGGACAAGGAGTTAAGTGGAAAACTGAGGAAAGTTCAGAGCGTTTCCCTTAGACTGCCTTTCTGCTGTTGCAATGAGCATTTTGGAAGCTGGGGATAATTCAAATTGGGCTAAGCAGACAAATTCTCTGCAAGTTCAATTGGCAACGTCGTCGAACAGAGGCCGAAAGATTCCACAAGGCGGCCACGTTGAGGGCATGGAGAACAAACGATTCAAGGGAACCGTTCGGGTGAGGTCGCTGTCGTGAATACGTTTTCCGTCACTGTAACAATTTTTCTTTCAGTGAGAATGAGAACAAACAGCTTAGCATCGTTTTCGGCTGTTTTTCAATGATTTTCTTCATACTTACTGGGCCTTGGACGATAGTTATGTTTGGATTTCGTTGACTGCGTCAGACCACCTGTACTATGTGTTCTGGTTCTGGTTCCATACTGCGCAAACACGTCAGTGGTTATCACGCGCAGGTCGGATTGAGGGACGTAGTTCTTAACAAAAAATAATGTTATGTATTTGACCCTCCCAGCACCCTGCACTGTATGGGTGGTTTGTGACAAGTTGAACGCATGGATGTGAGGTCAAAGAGCCTGGGGATTTCAATCCAGTTGATGAAAAAGTGTGTGTTAATTAGTTTTCCTTTAACTTCATGTCATTTTTCATTTTGCCGGCTGAAATCTCCTAATTCGTAGCAGATTTTAATGTTGAAATGATTTCAACATCGAGGTTTGGTCCAAAATGGCAACAGACGTTGGCTAAAAATATGCATGGGCGTCACCAGAATTTTTTTGGGGGGGGCAAACTGTCTTGTTAAAACAATAACATTTAACGGCGGGAAGAGGTTCAATTTTCTTGGTTTTCTTAAGCAAATAATTATGTTCTATTTCATTTCTAATTTTTATTTCTTTGGCTGTTTATTTTTCATTCTTTCCAAGGTCCCACCTTATGTAAATAAGATTATTTAAAATATAAATGAAAAGGTGCCGGGCAGTCTACGATGGAGTCAAAGTAGTCTATCCCACTTCTGGATGGAAATTCAATTATGCCCCCAAAAAGAGATTTCTTTTGTTTTCTTTTTGTGTTCAAAATCAAGCTTGGTTGAAATGTAACATCCCTTTTGTTCCAATTAGCAATCTAAATCTAACTCCCACCGCATTTCACCCAAAAGACACATTTGAAAACGGCCCTCTGAATAGGACTTATGAAACTTTTGAAGTATTTACTTCGGCGTGGGATATATTGATGCAACGGCAAGATCTTGTAAGTCACCACGGTGAGATACACATTCAAAAATTTAACTCGCAGTGGTGAGATAATAACTCACTGCGGTGAGATAGCAACTTGCCACTGCAAGACAGTAACTCGTTGCGGTGAGATACCTGTAGTAACTGGGAAAATTTTTTTGTGAGTGGCCCTTATACGCTTCCTTAATACTCAGACGTAGACCGACAAACCCCACACATATCATAATCTTGTTCACCACCCAAACTGTAGGGTTCATTTGTCATCCGCCACACTTTGTGGGACGACAAACCCCACAATAGTTGTGATATGATACATCAGTATACACTGTAGACACTGGCTACTCCAATTCACTACTCCATGTACATGTAAGTTACATGGATGATGGCCCTTATACGCTTCCTTAATACTCAGACCTAGACCGACAAACCCCACACATATCATAATCTTGTTCACCACCCAAACTGTAGGGTTCATTTGTCATCTGCCACACATTGTGGGACGACAAACCCCACAATAGTTGTGGTATGATACATCAGTATACACTGTAGACACTGGCTACTCCAATTCACTATTCCATGTACATGTAAGTTACATGGATGATATGCTTCTCATATATTAATGTGCAAAACGTTGAGAACAGGCCTAGACCCATGCAATGTTCTTGTTTGTTTACTTCTTTAAAAGTCACCTTGGAAAAAGGCATTTGTAAATTGTTTGCCATCATACAGTGTATTAATGCACCTTTTCCTGGTTCTTCATATTAAAGTGTATCAGTTAACTGAAATTCGGTCATGTGTGGTTCACTAATATGGGCTTGTACATTGTATATGAATTTGGTGTCAGCGTGACTCGACACGCATCTAGATATTGTGCACTTATCAATTCCAGAGACTAGTGCTCAGTTTTGCACCAGACTTGAAAATTTTTGACTGGTTATAGCGACCTTTGGAGGTTTCTATGGCTCCTTTTAAAACATTGAATTGAAACAGTTAAAAAACATGCAAGATTTCTTTTCCTAGCTGTATACAGGACTCAAAATTAGTCTGGGTCTATGAAAACTGAAGTTTAACTTTCAATTTTTGAATTGGTATTGAGTGAAAAGTTGAATTTAAACTGTTAAAACCCTGGAAGAAGTCTTTTACTTTTTGAGTATAGCAACTGTGTCAAGGGACACTACATTAAAATCAGTATTTTTTTAATTCTTGAAATGCCAATTGGAAGTTGAATTAAAACAGTTAAACCCTGAAAGAATAATTTTCCAGTTTGAGGTGTGTTATGAAATATATGGACTGGCCAAATTCAGTCACTAGTGCACGCCCATGTCCCCCCCCCTGTGAGTGATCAGATGAGGGTCCTATTTTCCTTGGCCTTCGACCTCAGGGGAAATAGGACCCTCTTCTGTTCACTCACAGTCCCTTGGGGACAGAGAAATATCTTGCCACAATTGACCTCTCATCTCCTATAATCTAAAAGACTTGTGAAAATTAGTGTTTTTGTACACAGATGAATACAGTACGTGTAGAACTACAAAATCACATTTTATTGTAGTCTTTCGGAAAAAGCTAAAATAAAACAGATTAAAATGTTTTCAGCATTTTGCCATTTATAAGGAAGTAAACTTACAGGAATAATCTGCTTTTCCAAAGATTCTAAAGTTTAATGTAACCTTTGGAAATGAGACCTACATGTACAGTAGGAACAGTATTGGCAGAAATGAAAGGTTGTATGAAATTTTTTTTCCCATCTCTTGGAGACTTTTCCAAAATATTACTTGAGAAACACAATTTAAGTAAATTCTGACATGAGTATTTCTTGGGGTAGTTTAAGTTACATGTACATGTACGTGTAGGAACCATTTTTCCCAAAAATTATCTGACCTGATAGGATTGCCCCATGTCAAATCTACATTTAGCCTTTCAAATAACAGAAGTTAAAATTTATGGAGAACACATCTTCTTAATTGTAATAAAACTGTTTCATCTCCAAGTTGAAAATATTTTGTGTGCAAACTAAATTCATTAAAGTGCTTGCAAACTGATGAACATTTGTTATGACATATTGCCACATTGATCTATAGGTTATTGTAAACCTTGTGTGTCATACAAATGTACCAGTAGACTCCTGAATGACATGCTCTGAACTGGCTCATTGCCAGCATCTAGGACTTCCAATTTACAAGTTCAGGTGCCAAGCTGGCCTTTGAAGTGGAGATACACGTACATGTACATCCTGAATGGAATAAATTTTCAGTAATCAGGATGTTGAGTGATCCCAGGTTGAAGGAATTTGGTAAAGGAGTGAGTTACGTGTACAAGTTGGGGGATACCAGTCCACAAAGCTTTGCATTGGGGTCTGCGAAAAGTTTCCATGTTCTTGACATTTTGAACCATATCGATCAATATTCTAACAGGTAGCCTACATGTACCATTGTGGCATCCGGAGCATTTTAAATGCCCTTTCTCACAACCATTCAGCTTCCTGTGTGCATGTGTAGTTTCTTCACTTCGTATTATACATTTTGTAAAGGATCCTTGACATGCAAATGTAACAGGGAAAAATGGCACACTTCAGATGAGAATAAAAATAAATAAAGAAGAGACTTGAAGAAAATAAAACACTTGGGGAACTCGCAAAAAAAAAAACTTTAAAAAGGATCAAAAGGGAGGAGTCGCAAGAAGTCTAAAAGAATAGGGATACGGGGACTGAAACTTGATTCCAACAACAAAATCTTTTATTTCTTCTAAAAAATATCCCCCCAAATAGGAATGCAACTAGAGAACTAAAAAAACAGGACTAAGTCGAAAATCAGAGAATTGTTGAAACCAAACCTAAAATGTAGGGGAAATATGACCAAGACCAAAATTAAATTTAGAAATTAGACCAATCCTAGACCAAAGTAAATCCGCAACAGAATCAAGGTAAGGCTTAACCAATCTAAAACAAGACCAACCCAAACTAACAAGAAAAAAACCAAGAACCTACAAAACCAACAAAACCGACAAAACCAACACAGCACCTAAGAAAAGTTACAGATCAATTCAACTCAAGCGTTAACTACCAAGTCCACCGCAGGTCTGAGCTTTCAGGGCAGAACTTGACTGGTATTTAATAGGTGTGTTACTTCACCGACTGCCAACCTGCTTACTGAGACTTGGGCTCAAAGCATGCCCATAGTGCCTGTCCAGTTGCATGAGTCATCAAGTAAACAATTATGAGGGGCACAGTGCAACTTTAGGATGGGTAGACTAGGGGGTGCTACTCCTATGCAGTGCATGGACATTTGCATTTAGTACAAAGGAAATAAACTAAGTTAAATCTGCCCCTGCTACACAAACATTACCTGCCTGTTTCTTCATTTTAGTTTTAAGTTAATGTATGTAAATGAACAGTGGGCAAATATATGCAAATTAGGAAGAAGACGACTTGGGGCCAGTCAGAAAATGCATACAGCAATTCAAATTGATGAGGAAGCTAATTAAGGTGAGAACTGGTACTAGTTCTAGAAAACTACTGATCAAATGAGTTTGTTAACTGCTCCTAAGGCCAGTTATGGGGGCGCTTTAAGCCACTTCACACAGACGCAGAAACAGGCAACATGTGACTATCAATTGGACTATCAACGTTTATTTGTCCCAGTCCTGTGTGGGTGGCTATCTTCCGGTGACTGAAAAAAAAAATAAATAAAGGAAAAATACAAACTGGTTCAAATCAGCAAAGGTTTTATGTGCTTGTCACGGTTTTGAGAAATCTAAACTTAAACAATTATACAGCCATAATCAAGTTTACTAACAATTAAAGTACAACATGTTCAACAACAGATTTGGAAATTTGTCGAGAAATACCACTATTAATTAGGGAAGAACATTCATAAGGGTGCTCACCTGATGTAACTGCTCTACGCCTCAAACTCTGACATTCGGGCCCGTTGCTGACTTTGCTGTCTGTAACTGTATCCAATTAGTTAAAGGTTAATTAATGCAAGCACAAAAT